CGAAAATTTATACGAATAACTTTTGTATATTTGTTGTTACACGAAACTTAGGATTTTGCGGAGAGATTTCCAAAGGTATTTCCCCAACGAACCACGTGATCCCCTGGTATCCTGGCTGGAATTTACGAATCAACTCACTAAAATGGTGAAGGGTTTGAGCAAGATCAAACAAATTACCCACCCAAGTGTTTCAAAACCAGTGATTCCCGGTCGAAAATAGTGCATTTCTCAAAGGACTCTTTCATGGATAGTTTTTAAAATGATATCCTTGTAACGACACATGGGATACTTCGATATCACTGCATCAAGTTGATGCGAGAATACAAGTTGATGTACCAAGAAATGCTGATGCATAAATTTATGTCCAATCCAACAGCTGGTGTATAAACACATACACGCCTCCAGAAAAGTCAATCTGGCGTCCATCACTAAGATTGGCTGGACGTGTCTCATTCACAACAAATGAGGCAGCTGAAATGTTAAAAATTCAGTACACTCAAGTTTTCACTGCATCCGCCAAAAACGGGCTACGACTGCCTGTGTTACTCGAGGACATACCAGATCCAAAGCTTACCACAACTGATTTTAACCTGTAAATCATAGCATCCAAACTGCAGCGTTTCAAAGGGAATTCATTTCTGGGGATCAAAAACATCCATGCACAAACCCTTATAAACCAGGAAAGTAACAGATAAGCCGTTAAGTGAACTACTCCGAAATATGTTCGACAAAACTGTGTTCCCACAAACACGGAAGCAAGGAATAACCAATATACAAAGGTGGCCGTCGTATTGACACAGCTCATTACCTCCCCGATACTCTTCACACCGCATTATCAAAAGTTATGAAATCCAGTGTTGCCGACAATGTGAGTAGTCACTTGGAAAGATATAACATTCCATCCGCGGTGCAGCATGGGTTTCGTTGCAGGCGATCGTGAATCACTAACCTAGTTCTGGCTCGAGAAGAGGGGATAAAAGCAGTTGATCACGGTGATACAGTGGACGTGGTGTATCTCGATTTCTCCAAGGCATTTTGCCGAGTGGATTACGCAATCATGGAATTCGTGGACTCGCACTTGGTTGGATAGAATTTCTTCAATAACGCACCATGGCAGTTAGGGTTTCTGGGTCATTATCTGATCCCATTAGCGTTGCTCGAGGAGTTCCACGGGGATTCGTGCTTGGCACTTAACCTTTTCTTGTTTTCATAAACGATCTAACGGATATTCTACGGCCAAAACGTTTACGTTTGCAGACGATGCAAAAATATGGAAAACAGTGACAAAATTTGAGAACTCATTGGCATTTCAGAGAACAATAGATACTGCCTTTCTACGGTCGATCGAAAATCAGTAACTTCCGTATGCCTCAAATGAGAAGGATCTAGGTTTCATTGTTCACTACAACCTAAGCTGTTCTTTAAACTGTTCCAGGGCGTCATCCAACGTTGCAAGACATATTGGTTTGTTAAAATGAGCATTTGGCAAACTAAAACTCATAATCAGAGTGTCAGATCCGAACAACGTTCGGCGTGTACCGAAAAATCGATGACCGTTGTGATATGTTTTATATAATTTGTGATTTTGAAAACACATCGGTCGGTACAGATGAAAATAAGCCGACGTTTCGGTCACCGTGGCTAACCTTTATCAAGGCTATTTTTCAATCGAATGAGTCAGGAACAGTTTGCCAACTAACCTCTCACGCATTGTGTATGTGTGTGTATGTGTGTGTACGTGTGTGCGTTTGCATGTTGGTCTGTGTCCGTGTCTGTGTGTACGTCACTGATCCGGATCGGACCTTGGGCACATCCGTTTGTGTAATGTTTGTCTGTGGGAACGGGGTTATCTG